TAATTGTGGAATGACGAACGACGAGTGCTGCAACTATTTGAAATACAGAGCACGTCTAGCTCAAGCTAGCTTGCTAGTACTCGTTGTTGGGTCCTCGTTAATAACAGTCGCTCGAACAAGTCAGGTCGTGGTTAGAGGGCGGAAAGAAAAAGAAAAGGAGGTAACACGTTACTAAAAGAGAAAACAATTGCTGTTTTAGATCGTTCATCTTTTTCTCGTGCTTTCTAGAAAATACGTCAACTGTCATGGTGACAAAATTATCCACACTAAGTAAATGACTTTATTTGCATACACTTTTTTTTTAAAAGATCAAATTTAACAAGTTAATTCAATAAAAAAGTTGAAATATCATTCCGTACTTTTCTTAAATGTCGTACAATTAAATGCAGCCAATCGTTTATTTTTCTTTCCAATTTTCTTCTGTTTCATAACATGTCTAACTTCTAGAAGTCTCTTATCTTCAGTGAAGTATTTCTGTTCAAGATTTATGCTGACCATAAATTGCACTAATATTGATTATTTTATTTGACTTTAAATTGTATAAAATTGCTGAGATAAGTATAGCTTAAATTTAAATCTTGGCCTTATCCTTACAATATTTTGTGAGCTCAACCTACATGACAGATTCCAATACAGTAGCAAAAGTCTCAATTTCACCCAGGAATTTGATATCTTCACTGTCAGATAGACTTGGTAAGTAAATAGTCTGACGTATTTTTGTACTTTATTTTGTTGAAAAAAATCATCTAAGACTCTATGGGTTGAAAAATACTGGCACGACAACTGCAAGTCTTGGCAAAGCTTCAATAAAGTTAGGACAATGTTGCAGTGTCAAGCTAAAACTCAGCAATGTATTCAGTGATCGCTCAATAAAACCTATCTTCGTTATCTTTTGGAGCCTATAACATTTGTCATTTCAACTAGAACTATCACCTATATACGTTGTATAATGTGGCCCATGGCCAGCTAAGTTTCAAAGGATCCAATGCTAGTCAAGCTAAAACATTCGTCAGTGATATCGTATTCTACAGAAGAAACGATGCGGATCACATCAAGTGAAGTCCCCCATTGTTTTTCTTTGTTCTTTTTTTCCTACAATCCTCTGGTGCTGACATGCTTCAGCAGCCTGCTTTGTTTTCGACTAAAATCTGCACGGTACAAATAGAACATTAATGAAAGTTACACGTGAGAATATTGTACAGAAACAACAAGGACAAAGGTTTCATCGCAATGCATCACAAGTCGCGACGATTCGTTAAAATGATGATAAAACTCCAGTCAAGCCCGCTCTCCAGATACTCTGGAGCATATATTTAGCATCAGAAATAACAAAAAAAATATGAATCTATTTAACATGAAAACTTATATGAATTTTATATGTGAATAGATATGAATTTTATGCATTTAGATGAGATACACTCGAAAATCTGTGACAATTAACAGCAGCTCCAAGAAGGTCATAAATGAAGCAATATGTCATCTTGGAAGATGCAACGTTGCAGTGCAATATTATGATGCCATCAGAATATCAGGTCTTGATCGATTATTCAAGACATTAGGTACAGTCTGCAATCTATATCTACGAATATTAATCATACTGTTTCTGTAATATACACAATTTACATGCACATATGTATCTACGTACATACCTCGATAAGCTAAATGAAGTATTAATATCATTGAAAACCTCATCAAAGTGTTTACATAATTTTATTATGCTATTTAGCATAAAATGTATTCATTAAATGATAATATTTCAAATAATGTTGAGATAAAAGAAGAATTTTTGATAATAAAAGCGTCTCTTTATTTTAGAATTTTTATTTTCATTTATTCCCTGGAGTTAAATCAAATTACATGACAAGGACTTTCTAAAATTAAATGATGTCACAAGATTAATATAATTTATTTACTTTTAGTGAAGATATTCGTTGCAAAAAAAAATTAATTGTATTATGTCAGATTTTTTTTGTGTCATCAAATTTGATGCCAATCACTCTTATTATTTTGGATTTTAATTTTTTACCAATTATTCATTTAGGAAACTCCAAACTTTCTCTTCATTTTTAACTTATCAAACTTTATTCACAAAAAATTACCGTCATTTTTATTGGGAATATATTTTTAAAATTTTCTCATCGATTTTATCAAGTTCTGAATCTCTTGGAGATTGTTTATGATGTAAAGTTTTCTTACTCTATGAAAGATTAAAGTTTTAGAGTGCCATATTGATTTCAATATCAAACATCAAATCAGCAAATTTTACTCATTCCATAAGTCAATACTTTGACTTGTTAGATCATCACATTTTACTTATTTAATCAGCTTTTACCACCAGAAATGGATTCAATTATACTCCAACCGTTTTCAATAACTCTTTTTTAAAACAGTGTATTCAGTTCAACTCGACTGTCCATTAGTCACTGATATAGTTAAAATTCAACAGATAACATATTTTTTAGCTTGTTATTTTTTCAATTAGTGATGCAAATTGATTGAAAAAAAGCTGTTTTGATAAATGTTGTGAAAAAATACTTCAATTCAAAAGCAAAACAAAAAAAAAACGTCAAATGAATTAAATTAAAAAACAATTTCTTTGAATATAATTTACTGAATGTGTTTCCAACGTACTTTATGAACTTCTATTACTTGACACATGAGTATAGTAAAACTCTATTAATAGCAAGAGAAAGAGAATTGATAATTGAATGTAGATGACTACATGTAGTGCTGTATATAGGCGAATTCTCAGTTAGATTTACGGTCAGGGTTTGTATTTATTCGCAAGTACTCGAGTGTATTTGTTCAGGCAACAGAAGTAAACGACGACGGGCTTCAATGAACTGTTACGCAAACTTGCTCAACTGTCACGACTGCCGTGTACGTAGATGTTGTGTAGACTTGTCCTTTGCAACAGCACATGGTATCTGTATGACTCTGTCACATTGACTTTCAGTCTCTCTTTTGGAATTAGTGGGAAATGATGATGCTTCTGTTAAGTTGGTGCTTGATGGGAATTACTTAAATTCGCAGTCCTGTTGTTTCACTTTGATTCAACTTTGTCAAAGAGTCGAGATGTAGTGGTAGTACAAGCTATAGACTTGTTTTCTATTGTTTCGTAAATTTTTTTTTATTTCATTCTTGAGTACTGAGGAACAAGTAGCTACATACTAGTAAAATCAGCAAATAATTGTTGAACAAAAATATATAATTCATTTTTCAATGCTTGAAATATAATAAATTATTAAAATCATCAACTTGCTTTAATTCTCAATTTATCCTACATTATCTCATGATAGTTATTTATTTATGAGTCAAAATGTTATGACTGGAAAATCAAAAATCAGCATTAATACATCATCAAAGTAATGAATATTTGAATCAATTAAATGAATATAATTTTCAAATATGTAATTATAATTTAACCACAACATAATTCATTCATCAACACGGGATATTTCATAATTCAGCTCTGTGAAAAATTTAAATTTGATTGTACGAAATTATAAAATTATAAAAAACAATGTCATTTAATTTTTTATGAATATCTCTTTTATAAGATAGATATCTTATAAAACTTGAATTCATTGTTTTTTATATTCATGAACAGCCATGAATTATATTCATTTCGCTTCAGTCATTTTAATGTTATTATATTCTTCTGCTTTTTACTTAAACCTATTATTATAAAAAGCGAAAATGAGGTTAATATTCGTCTGATTAACAGTCAACTATTAAATGAATTCTCTTGCATTATAATAATTATTCCATCAATTATTTCATCATGGCAAACATTATGTTAAGCATTCTATGAGGCTTCGAAATAACATGAGAACAATGTGAGATGATGCAGGAATAGTGTAATATGTTCATTCTGAGTTCATGGTATAATCTTCTCTTATCTCCTTCGTTGGCATAGTTTTATGAGATGTGTCAAATTATCGTTATGTTTTATTTACAAATAAATTAATTATTGCCATTTAATATGACAATAGTTATATCTATTTGCATTTACAACCTTTATTTGATCAATTCAAACGACTAAGAATCATGTACCTGTGATGTAAATCCATGAAAAAGCAGAAAGCAACTTTTAATGGATTAATTTGCACGTTAAAAAAATAAATTTACCAATTTATTGTAATTTATGAATAATTCATTCGATTTTCATTTAAATACTTGGGTATTTTTTTACTTGACTGATCCTTACAATCTTGGATTACTTAAAAGGAGCAGCAAAAAACGAAAAGATAAAGAAAATAAAATTCGAATCTTCTTATCCAAGGACTTAAGAAAATGCTGCTTTGTGCAGCTTTTAAGAAAATAAATACTTCACCAGTTCCTCAAAGTCATTTGATTCCATCGATTTAATTAAATAAAAAATATGTTAGTAATTGAAATGCAACTTATTTGATAATGTACAATGAGTAAATTTGTTCATTATTGTAATAGACTTGATGTGATATGTAGATAAATCATGCTCTAGGTAATAGGAATTTTAAGTCCATTAAAGATCTAATTAGGTTGGCACTAGAGTTCATTCAAGTGAACACGGCAGTTTTAGATTATAGATAAAGCAATGACGGAACGATCCGCATCATCCTCATTGGCATTGGCATCAACGTTAATCTACGAATACGTACAGCAAAGTAGAAAAGGCAAAGTACTAGACCTCTTGGCTCTATCTAACCCAACCTGCTTGTTGGAGCCTTTATCGAATTCCAGTAGCACGATAATCAGATCAGACCTCGGCTCAGGGAATATATTTATCAGTATTAGCTAAGAAAACCCAAGGGACTGGTGAAACTGCTGGTGAAGAGATGATCCGGATCCTCTGCATTAGAACTTCACCAAAGTGCCCGCTTAATTTTATCCTCCCAACTTCACTGATTCAATTAATCAGCCTGCACCCAATCATCATGTTTGTTAATGAAATTACTATTTTTTTACACTTCCAACATCGCAACGTAATCTAAAGTTACATTTAAATGTGATTACAGGTGGGTCTATAAATGAAGCAGTGTTTGCGCTGAGAGACAGACAAGAGGGTGGTAGACGAGCTAGAAAAACTACTACTAGTACAACCAGTAGCACAACTGCTTTAACTACTGCAGCTGGCCTTAAATTTACTGCCACCTCCGACAATGTGGCACAGCCTGCAGCATTATTGGCTCCAGATGATCAAACCTGGTTCATTGCTTCAACATCACCACCTCCCAACATCCCTCAGATAATAAGAGGCACGTCCAGACTACCTCCACTAGAGATTGTCGTAAAACCACAAGCTAAAGTAGTCCTACCTTGTGAATTAGGTGGAAATTACTCACGTATCCTGCAGACTACGTCGAGGTAACTATCAACGTATGCACTACTTCACTAAACTTAGTCAATAACAAGACTCTTGATTGAAGAACACAGTCTTCATCCTAAATTTCATCGTTAATTACTCATCAACGTCTCCTTATGGTTATTAACAATTTAACAACACATCATTAAATAAAAATATTAAATAATTAGTAAACTTTGAATACAATGCTTGAATTATTTTAACAAATTAGATGATAAGTTTGGATTTAATTCTAGGAGTTATCGCACAAGACCAGCAAAATGGCGGCATAATGATGTGCCAGTGGACATGATTACAATAGACACTAGAACAGAAATGAGTGGAACTGGGCATAGGTATATTGGAGATTCCTCAACAGCTGCTCTTCACATCGACAGTGCGCGGCTTGAGGATGATGGTATATGGAAGTGCACTATCGACAATGACCATGGAGAGCTACTCTCTGGAAGAACAGTCAAGCTTGTCATTCTCGGTAAGTCGAAAGACGTATTTTTTCAGTCAACTTAATCTATGTCTTTCCATTCACATATTGGTTTACTATTATTATATTCATCTTTAGTAATAATATAGAGCAAACTAAAAGAACATACTCAATAAACTAGATGCATTTTTTTTTCCTTTCCATTGGAAATACAAATAGAATTATTTGTGGAGCAAACATTTGCAGAATAATGATAGAAAAAGACTGCGAATAAAAAAATTCTGAATAATGGTAAAAAAGAGCGAAATAGTTAATCCGATTGTAGTATTAATAACGAAAAAAGAACAGGTTTAAAATAGATCACCTCATAGACAATATATCAAACTAATAGCACTGATGACATCGAAAATATATCAAGAATAAATTACAATTTTTGCTTATTGCTTGCACGCCTGTTCAGTTTCTCTACCATCTGTTGTCGCACGTTTTACTTAAAATGTATTACAGACTGGAAAATGATTATTTTTTCAACAGCGTAATGGTTTAGAATTTTAATATATCAGACTATCATCTAGAAATAAGTCAAGCACATCTTAAAGTGAAGAGTTCTGATTTTGGAATACTTCCAGATTCATCGAAAAATTCAACACATCACCAACTTTTAGCAACACTCCAAAGCCGTGACTTATTTCCATAAAGAATAATTCTTTTTTAATTTATTACCTTAGCAACATATAAGCTAGAGAGAAATATCATCAGTAAAATATGTCATTTCGTTGTATCTACATACTCTTTCATTTCAAAATTTGTCATTTCTAACAGCTTCTAACTACATTGCAGCAATTACTCAGTATTGTTTCTATTTTTCTTGCATTTTAATATTTTTATTTTGCATCAAATCCAATATATCTTCAGTAACAACATAAAACACAATCACAGAACACATTCTAGATGGCTACAAAACCCTGGTACAGGTATGGCAGAAATTAAGAGAGCACTCGGGTGGTTCTTGGAACATTACGTAGTCATCCACTGCACTGTACTGCACTCCCCTGATATTGCACACTAGCTTCTGCTACTCTGAGTAATATCATCCTATGCATACCAATTCGAGTCTTCCAAATCACGATATTTGAATATGTATTGTGTTGAGATTTATGCATAGTTGAACATTCTTCGTTTTTGTATGCTACTTTCAAATCCATTGTTCTTATATAAATACATTTACAAATGTACTAGAAATAGAAATCATATCGAAGCCATATGGAGATTGAATGTTATATATTTAAATTAATTTTTGATAAGAAGTTGGATTTAGATACATCAAATATAATTCACCTTTCTTAATAAAACAATCTTGGTATAAAATGTTACATTTTCTAGAAATAAAATTGTTTGATAGGTCATTATTGATCTTTAGCTAGAAACTGATGGTTAAAAAAGCATTTTAAAAAAATTTTATCATAATTTTAATACAAAATAAATACAAAATAGTAGCAAGAAACGATTGAAAACATTCATATTTGAAATGAGTAGGTTTTGTCTTTGATCATAAAATTCTTTGTCTTTCAAATGTGATCAAAGGAAATTATTAAGGAAACGTGGCATCCACCAGAGAAGCACCAGAAAGAAAAAAGATGATAGCGACTACACTTACTGAAAAGAACAGTAGAAAAATGCGAAGCAATCTGAAATGTTGCAGACATGAGATGATGAAATTCAAAGAAATTTCAAGAAATAGTTCTTGATGGATTTTTTTTATCCTTGATAATTATTCTATTTAATTGCAATGCATTAATTACTATGATATATCAGCAGTTATAAAGTGAACGACTAAATTTTGTGCAAGTTATTTAAAAAAATCTCCACGAGTATCATGAAAGAATTATATAAACATTTCTCACTAATATTTTTTGATAACACCAGAGTGTGATTAACATGGTAATAATTTTGAAATCACGCTCGTAATTCAAGCCATCATTCAAGGGGTGCTAACGCAATCGCCTTTCCGCGCCAGTAGAGCAGCATCGCTCCCTAGAAACCTCTAGTAAATTAGTGTCCCCAAGTTAGGTTCTAATTTCCCCAGTATGACCAGCAATTATTGTCGCGCAATTGTTAATCACTGGCCACCAACTATCGATTGATTGATGCAACTTCCTTCCCTAATTAATTATTCAAGTATTTTATGCTTCGTTGGATCTCTTGACTAGCCATCATCTAACTATTTCATACCTTCTATTCAACTTAAATGACATTTTATCTAAGAATAATTGCAATGTGTCTTTTTCATCAGCTAGTTCATTTATCAACAATGTTTTTCTTAGGTCTTAGGAATCACTGAATATCCAATTCAATGACAATTTCTTCTTTTCAAGTCTGACAATAGTTATTATGACCTAATGTTGAATGTAGTGTAGATCACTTTACAAAATGAACAAAATGAATAAAGTTTTTTTGAGTTATTTTTATCATTCAATTTAAGTGGTAGAGTTGCAACTTAAACACAACCATGGTGTTAATTTACTGAGATGAAATGAAAAAAAATATCAAGAGTTGAAGCAAATGGTACGACGATTTATCTAGTTCTTTTCCAAGTGGGTATTTTAAATAAAATACTCAAGTAGATGACACTAAAGAGGATGGTATAGAGATATCGATTTCATCTCATGTATGAACTTGAGAGGAGAATGCGCATTTCCGGATGGATACGCATTTAAGTGTACAGGAGTATATACGGATTCACGCATGCACTTACCAACTATCACTTCACCTGATCGAGCGATGTCAAGCCTCGGTGCTCTGCTAATTTTCCTTCTAATGTAGAGCTAAATGCGAATATTCTGTTCCTAGTAAATTGATCAAGGAAGGCGTAGCAGCCGTAATAGGGCAAGCTAATTAAATTACTTTTGAATAGATAATTATCATTTAGGTATATGCAGGTATATGATATTCACACCTACCCTAAAAGATAGGATCATAATTTAGTATTTATTTTCACTAATGTACATTTTTAAATTTTTATAGGGATATTACTTTAGAGTTCATCTTTTCTTTTATTTTTTCATCTTCTTCTAGCCTTCCTTTTTCCTTTACCATCAGCATAAATCGTTTATAAAGAAAATATGCTACAGGTGTGAAAAAGCTGTACGTGTATGAAATTACATAGTCAGAGACTCAGTAAAGTTGTGAGGAGAAAATGGCCTGGAAGTGCAGTATGAGGCAGAAAATTACTTAACTGTTGGTTATTTAATATTTGATTTTCACTTTTTCAATTGTTATTGTGTATTTAATTTATTTGATTTTTATTTTTATGTCATAATAACAACTATTTAGAGGATATTCTCATAGATACTAAGATAAAATTTCATGATTTTTCATTTTTAGAATTTTATTAAAAAAATAAAAAAAAAAAAAAACTTAAACTATCAACCCAGTAAAGTGAGCGTAAACTATAAAAACATACACAAATAATAAAAACTAGTTTATTAAATTTCTTTCTTTTTTAAATTGGATCAGTAAAGTGTTGAACTGTATTTCTTTTTATATAAAATTGGCACATGATTTTATTATTCGTGAATTTACTTTGTGTATTAACTTATAAATAGTAAAAATCATTGGTGATGATTGCAAAACCAATGAATATAATCCAACTGTTTAAATATTCACTGATTCTTCAGCCATTTTTAATGATGTGTAGGGGATTACCTTCCTCTTATATGACAAGTGAAATATCTAGACAGAATTATGCGATAATTTATTTAAACAACATAATAAAAAAAACTGTTGTCTAAACTGATATTTTATATCCTGACATCAGTCAAATATAATTGATGAATCGAATCAGAAAATGTGTCAAAAAACTTGCACATATATTGCAGTAACTGAACAAGTATCATTATTAAAACTTGAACTTGATAGGTACTGTCTTTTTGCGAAGGGTGTCTGAAATATTGGTAACTGTCTCGCGTATGTTATCGGTTTATTCTCTGGGGACTGAGAATGTCCAGTATCCCCTGATAAACGAGACTGGTATAAATCATTCTGAGATTAAGTCTGCATGACTTGATTTTAATACTGTCCATACAATCTAACTATCACAGTGAAAATAATAAAATGTCTTTTTTTGTTTCTTAATCTTTCCAATAAAGAGAATATCAGTCATTTTTAATTCAAAAGTATAAAAAATAAAATCAGAGAAAGTAACCGCAGCTCAGGAAATCTATAAAGATGTGACTAGATAAGCGAGCTGGGACTACAGGAGTAAAACGTTTTGCACGTACAACTAAAGTGAATCGTTTCGGCGCCTTCGATATATTTCGTTGGAGAAAACGAGCTCCGTTCGGTTTTCTTGAGATAAACCTAGACGACGTAATATATAGAAAGTGTTCCGTCAGCATGGATTAATGGATATGCCCTCGTGCAGGAGAAACTTTGCTGATTTAAAGAAGAAAAAAAATTCTTTCGATATAAGAGGGAAAATAGATTGCTCATCTTTAAGAATTGAACACAAAACTCAGATGAATTCAATTGAATGTACTCATGCGTATCAATAGAGTTTAGCTGATGATATAATGCTGCTAGAATAGCAGTGATGGATATTCGTTGAATCAATTCACTTTTCTCTATTTATTTATTAGCTACAAAAAAGGAACAGTTGTTTAAATCGAGTAAAATCTGTTGTCTAATTAAATATCTCTGGTTAAAAACAAAGAAACAATTAATTAAAATAAAAACTTTTGGATGCATTTTTTTTATCTTATCTCCTTACTCTTGAGTGGAGCTGGGGAGAAATATATTTCACAGCTTGTGAAATACGGTCTCAGAGGAAATGAAAGAAATCTTCGCGCTCGAGTTGAAACCGATAAAAGGCTTTGCTCTCCGTGATTCTTCGGTGGACTGAGAGTCTTCGTTCAAGGACAACAGCTGCTTCTAATTGCTAAATCGATATAAATACAACTTTACGGGTTTGTACTGCAGACATGTGCATTTTCGGTAGCATCAAAGATAATAGAGAAAATTATTTCTATCTTGATAAAATAAAAATACATTTATTACGTATAGTGAGTAAACAAGTAATATTTTATTCAACGAATAAAATCAAAATTTTAAATAGTTGCAATAAGACATTTTTTTGGAAGTTACGGAATCGGGGCACAGCCTGATAAAATTCATTTTAACACCCTTAAAAAGGGGTAAAACTGGATACATATTAAAAATCATCATCCCCTTGACTCTAAAACCCCTATAACTCATGAACGGACAGTCTAATAATCGATCTTAGGGACGTTTTAAGAACCTCAGAATCTAAGCTAAACATGCATATCAATAAAACATGTTTAAAAAATTTATTTCACCCTTAAAATCGCTAAAATATGTTAAAAAATCACTTTTTTGGGAGTTTGCCAAGTATTTTCGCAATTTTAAGGGTGAAATAAATTTTTTAAACATTTTTTATCGATATGCATGTTTAGCTTAGATTCTGAGGTTTTTAAAACGTCCCTAAAATCGGTTATTAGACTGTCGGTTCATGAGTTACAGGGGTTTAAAGACAAGGGGATGATCATTCGTAATTTGTATTCAGTTTTACCCCTTTTTAAGGGTGTTAAAGTGAATTTTTCTGGGCTGGGCCCCGATTCCGCATTTCTACGCATCAAGACGAAGAGAATGAGCCCTCAATCATTAAAATCGGAGAACTTTTATTTTTTGGCCTAAAAAAATGGAAAGGGGTACCACTTGCCATTTTTTGGGGTCAAAAAATCAAAGTTGTCCGATTTTAATGATCGACCACTCATTCTCTTCGTCTCAATGCCTAGAAATGCGGAATCAGGTCAAACATATGAAAAATCCATTATTTCACTCCTAAAATAGGGTAAAACGGGAACTTGCTCCAATTTTAGCAAAAATTATAAAAACGACCATCAAAATACGTTTAGAGTAGAGAAAAAATTTTTTATACGGGTGTTGTAAAAGAGTGTAGTATTAATTTTTTATAAATTATTTTATCAAGGATCTTAAAAATTATTTCACAAAATTCTACTACATATTTTTATCAAGCATCTGCTATTTTCTGTTCAAATTAAATTTTTTTTGTCTTCAATATTCCATTTTTCCCCAACCAAGTTATTAACTATGAGTAAAAACATGTTGCTCTCAATATAAAACTTTTATAACTTTTGAATAAATAATTACACAGTAATTATACCGGAATTAATGTAAAGTTTGGAAAGTTTTTCCCAGGTTGGTTCAATCATTTATCTAATGAAAAATTAATTTTTTATCCCAATTTTTTTCTTCAATAACATTATAAAAAAACGTGATTCAAGTAAATTATTTATTAACAAAAAATCCTTCTCTAAAAATTAGCATTTTTTCTGAAAAAAACCTGGCTTAAAAGCAGTAAAAAAGAGGAAGAGAATAAAAAAAATCAAATCCATCGTTGTCAATAATTAATAACAAAAAGTATCAATTAAAATGCAAAAATTCTTAACCACATGAATAAAAAAAAACTGTATTTTATATTTGAGTAGATAATGAATATACAGAATAATAATAGGAAGAAAAATAAACAGAAACGAAATAAAAATGTTGAAAGTGAAGACATTTCATTTTACTGCTCATCAGTAGACGCCTTTCTTGCTGGTGCCGAATAAGGTACTGAACTAAACTTTTGAATATTTAACATTTGCCTATTTGCTCTCTCCACCGACTAACAGAAATGCCAAGGAAGAATAGTGTGGTTGCACATATTGCTGCATATGTATCTGTGGGTCCAGTATGTTACTCTACTCGTCGTGCATATATGAATTTTACCAAGCAACTACATTTTTTTATTTTTTCATTTATTTTCATTTCTCAGTGACTGCGTGTGCGATTGGTATAATGCCCAATTACGAAGAACCAACTTTAATGAATAACCTAGAGCTATAGATTTTTGGCTTAAAATGAAAAAATTTCATACCAAGAGAAGATGAAATCTAAATAATAAAATACAAGTAATCTTGTCAATAAAAAGTGTAAAAAAAGAGGAAACTTTACCAGTTGGATATTATAGAGAGAATGTTGTGATGTTTTTTTTAAAGCTAACAGAATATGGTAGGAATTTTACAAAAATGATAGCGAAAAGTTAGGGAAAGGGATATAGTGCAAGAAAAGGAGAACAACAGGGGAATTCTGTCTCATGATACGATGCAGCACGTGTAGCAAATGCGTTTCCAAGAGGTCGCCAAAGTATACTACCCAAAGTAAAACGACGTTGTGTGTTGGTATTAACACCTGCTGTATCCTTCTCCAAACTCGTCCTAAGCTCGTAACTTTTTGTCTCGAAAATGTGTTACATTATTTTTCCAAAACTTTTTCTATTGGTTTATCATAGTCCATCTTATATTATTAGAGAATGAATAAAAAACATTGAACAAAGAAATAAAAGTTCATAAAACTCTATAAATAAAATTAAAATTTACAACCAAGTTTCAATTTAATAGTCTGTCAATGCAATTTTATTTTATTTCATATATTAAATGTAATTAAACATTTTGATTAGACAGCTATTGAAACTAAAATTTCATTTAAAACATAAATTTTCCTTGAAGCCAACTCTTATAGACATTATCTTACTTTAAATCTGTTTATTAAATTAATTTCATTGACAGCTCAAGTTTAAAAATTATATTATTATTAAATTAGAATATTAGTTTATGAGAATTTTCTTATCTTGAAGACATTTTGAATATAAAATATTCAACTAAACTTTTTTTTATCAATTTTGATGATGTGGAATAAGTTGAAACAGACCTTACTTAAAATTCAATATAAAATGGGGTCATAGCTCAGCTGAAGCTTCATCTTGAGTCAATGTACCTTGAAAAACTTGTACATAATTTTGATACAACAGAGAAAAATAATAATTTTAAATAAAACTTCAACTCTTGTATCATTTTCTATCTTAAAATCCTGTTGAAATCAAACTCCATTTTTGAATTAAAGTCATTATTGGATGGAGGATAAACGTGGCTTAATTAGCTTCATAAATTGCTTCGTTTTACATATCTAGATGCCACTACACCAATAAAGTTAGCTAAGTGAGAACAAATTAGTCCAATGGGACATAAGTTTGCACACAAATAATTAATCTCTCGTAAAAGACCTCTTTGATGTATACCCTGTGATATATTTTCATCATCAATGGTCTAATTGGCTCTGTAATAAGCAGATTTGTAATTGGCATTTCAGAAGCACCTCGGGCAACTTATCTACTGATAGATGGTCGTCGTTTAGACCCGGGAAATCAGTTTGTACCAGTAAAGGAAGGCTCGGAACTCGCATTGGAATGTGCTGCTGAGGGTGGTAACCCACCATCGGCCTTGTCTTGGGGGATGACACTAGCACAAACTGTGTCGACGGAAGGCCCAGAACAACCACCAGACAATTTGACTGTCGTTCCGTCCACTCGTGGTGCAGGTCATAGTGGAGCCCACCTCAAAGTTCAACGGAAACATCACAATGCTACTATCATTTGCACTGCCCGACATGTCACTCTCACCACTCCAATGAATGCCAGCATACTTCTTGATGTTCAATGTAAGTAGTTCAATATCTATATTCTATACTATTAAGCGATCAATGTTTGAATTGGTGGTACATATAATTGCAAACTCCAACATTGCTCTGATCATTTCTAACAAATTGATCGGTTGGGTATTCATGTTCTAAAGTTCAACTACTTGATATAATGCATTATAATTATTTACTTAAGAATATTATTCAAATTTAGGGCTAATTCATTTAGTTTTATTACTTCAAATTATTAAGTGTTAATTATTTCTAATAAAGTTTTAATAAATTGGAATTAAATCTCTAAAATTTGTCAAAAATTCTATATATATTTGAAGCCTTTCTTCTCTAACTTTAATCAACTTCTAAATGAAAGTATATTAACTAATTGAAGCGTTTAAATCGAAAACCAGTTTATTGAAGTGATTAATATTGAAAAATAGAAGAAAACTAATAATCAATGACCTAATAATAATTTGGTGATTGAACTATTTCAATAATTTTTAACTATTCTGCTAGAATATTGAATTTATTATATTCATATTCTTTTTTAATTGATTTAATTATATTTCCAATAATTATTTTTTAAATTAAAAACTCTCAATAGCATACGAACATTCACAGTTCAATAAATAATTGTGTGGAGATAAAGATGTCTTTTTTCATCAAAGTAGAATTTTTCTTTGTCAAATTGTTCTTGTAAAATTCATAATAATTGAAGAAAAATGGAGAAAATTATACTAATTAATTTTTAATGAGGTGAAGAGTTAATAACAAATCAATTAAGTAGCTTGAAATTTTTTTAAACTTGGAACAGTTTGGAATTTTCTTGGAAATTTCTATTTTTTTTACAAAAAAAAAGTTCCAAATTTGTCTACCACTTCGTCTTAACAGTGGAATTAAAATTTGGAACTCCAGCGGCATGCCTCCGGCACAAATTTTTTTTACACCACAATTACAACTAATGAAAGTATACGAATTTTTACATTTTATAAATTCATCAACTCTTGAAACCAAATACCTCAATAAATTTTAGCTTTTGTGATGAAATATTTTCCGGAAATTCGCTTGCAAAAAGTGATAAATTAAGTGCTAACTTTCTAGCTCTGATTTAAAAAAAAATTTTTTTCATTTAATTGAAGCGATTAAAGTTGATTTATCAGCAGACTGAAAAAAAAATACCAGACAAAAAAATGCAAAATCCAACCGTGAAACTTTCTAATTTCAATTTTAATTGTCTTTATGTTATCTTTAATTACATTTTTAGTTTACAATTTATGTGATAGAACCCCATAGACTTTTTGGCTTGTAGTTTGTTGTAGTTAAAATTTTTTTCTTCAACTTCTTTTACTTTTCTTCAAGGCATCAGGCTTCCCCACTCACTATAGTTACTTTTAAAGACTTGTCTTATTTTATCCTCACGTTCTTGTGCTTCTTCCTTTATTTTTTGATCTCCGTCTAGCTCGTAGTCTACAGCGGAGTCTCAGACTGTTCGAGTTTCAGGCAGTTTTCAGGAAAACTTACTTAAGGATTAACTCTTACACCAACAAAAACGGCAAGTGTGCGAATGAGGACACAACTGATGTTGGAAAGAGTGAGGAAATAGTGAAGGAGGTATAGGTAGGTGATACAAGACAGGGGTTAAGGGTTGCTAGAGACTTGGGGCTGAGAATATACATCACTCGAACGGCTTCTTCTTATTTCCCAGCACCGCCTTTTCAGCGCTCCCGAGCGTACCGTCGCCTTCTCTTCTTCTTCCTTAGCTTCTTTGTCTTCTTCGTATTCCAACCAGTAACTCTTGAAGCCCACCTTTTCCCACAACCAACACTGCAACCCTCCCTACATAAATCTGCATTCCCTTCACGTCTTCAACAAGATGCAGATCAATATCTGACAATATAAACGATCAAAGAAATTTATTCGTTTTACTACTTTGAATAAATCTTGATTGCTATTTGTTATATTAATCAATAGTACCAAGGTACTGCATTAAATACAGCAGTTGATACATATTGAACATATTCTGCTGGGTCACTTTGATTATTATTCTTTCTTATATATTTTACTCAATAGAAACTCTTGATGACATAAATTTTCCACTCGATTTATTTCTCACAAATGATGCGGGTGCCATTTCCATTCACTGGCATTAAAATTGTACGGGTGCACAGTAGTTGATTGCTTGCTTTTCTGCTAAACGTTGGAAAATTTCACAGTTTGATTACATTCAGACAACTGATACTGATTCATCGCTATATACTTCAATTATAAAAACACGATTTAAAATTGCACTGAACCAAGTCACAACAATTAAAGGCTGTTTTGATATGTTCAATATTATAACTGTATTTTCCATCTACATTATCAATCATTGTAACAACTAGCTCTAATTAAAATTTTTTTTAATCATCATCATTTTACCAACATATTGAAACAAGAGATTTTAATATAGTATAAATATTTTTAAAATGGTTTTACCTCATAGCTGCACAAAATCTTAATAAATCTATATCATATTAATAGCTCCATTATCAGATTATAATAGTGCATATTGGTTGATCATTATGAAAGCAATACTTAATTACCTTCCGATAGTGAATAAGCAAAGATTAGCAGCCAAATATTTTATAAAAATAATGTAAAGCTTTTACGACTTTAATCTCAAACAAAAAGCTAGAAAAAGTATCGCAGCAATTCAATTCAGTATTTATTATTAATAAAGTTAATAATAAATAGACAATGCTGATAAATAAATAGTCGAGTCAAGTGTTGAGCAGAAACAGTTTGACATGAGTGTAAGACTATAATAGTGGTGGAGAACGTGCTTCTATCGTGGACAGAATATGATATGCAAGATATAGTAGAGGTACGAGAGGTACAAGGAGATGTCACGTTAAATTTGAATATGATTGATAGAGTGTAAGTCCGGACTCGACGTGAATGGCGAAGCTACACCTACGGCGTGAGAACCATCACAAGCTCTAGCTTAACTTAAGACTCAGGTTATCTTCAAGATCCTGTAGTTGAGCCATAATAAAATACTATTGTTCCTGTAGGTGACATTGATGAGCTTGAAAACGTGCTATTCTAACAATACTGAAGAACATAGTCAAGGTCTACTGTAAAACTGCACTGAAGAGTTATAAAGAAAACTGCTAGACTAAAACTTTCATCATCTAACTTTAACACACCAAACTACCAAGCATCCTTTATTCTGGCGTAAAATAAGTGGTCAAAATAAGACTGAAAAGTTAACTGGGGAAAAAGATTGAGGAGAGGATAAAAAAGCAAAACATCTAAACCAATTGTAGCTAGTGGTACTATTAATTTACAAGATAATGAGATGAATCATTGATTTGAAGAATATTCAAGTAACACTTTATCTTATTCATCAGTGAATGTGTAATTGAATGCAAAAGAAACTAGTGGGTCGATTGAAAGGTGAATTTTATCGTTTTATTTCGTTGAAACGAAATGAGAAAAACCAAGTTGAAGAGATAGATATCGACGTTATTCACAGCCAAGATGTGGCTCTGCTTCATCTCTTTCACTACCTTAGTAGAAACGCAATTATAGGATTTCCTTTCATCCAACGCACGCAAACCTGTATTTACTTTCAGCTACGTAACCCACAGGATCATCCGTCTTGACTTTTTTCCTAGTATTTTCGTGGATTTTCATCATCAGTATCACCTTTTCGAAGGGTTCACCTTCCTCATATTAAACCGATTCATAGCAGATTTTAGTCTAACCAACACGATACCCATATTGACTTTTTCATGAAGATGAAAAATAAATGAAAATTGAGAGGATTGACAAGTCTCTTCAATACGCTTTTGAAATCATATTCAATTATTGGATGTAATAATTTATGATCCAATAAATCACTAAATGTCATAAACTCACCACCTATAATAACATTTGCTGCATAAAAGTATTTGCTATGGATATAGAGTTTTATTAAAATTTATTTATTAAAATATTTCAAAAGTTCAAAGCACCTAATCAAGCTAGATCTGTTATATGATTTTTTATTGAAAAGCAATTGATAAAAAGTAACAAGATTTTACCTTTATCTTTATTTGTATATATATATATATATATTATTTATTATAATATTTTTTTTTAAATAAGTGAGAGATTTATTGAGAGCAATATTTTTTACGCTTATAAAAGTGATTAAATAAAATAACAAACGTTAGCAGAGTGATGGATATTACAAAATTGATGGCAAAATGAACAAATGAATTAAAAGATCGCCAAGTGTTTTAGTCTCGAGAGTTTGTTGAACATTGTATTAAAGCATCAAGCTTGCTATATAGAAACAGTACGTGCTATTTTCTCAAGAAACTCACATGAGACTTGTAATTGATTTACAAGCTTTGCTCCGAGCGCGATAAAGGTCGACGTGAGGACAAAGTGATAGAACGTTATACTTGGAAAATGAAAGAAAATTTCTTTCATTTATGTTTTTTAACTCAAGTTGAAAGGTTTCGTTCTGATATGTTATCCAATGATTCACATTAGGAAATAATTTGGTTGGAAGAAAGAAGTAAAACCATAGTGAAATAACAAAAATAATGGAAAAATGATATTGGAGGTAAAGTTGTAATTTTTTATGAATCTAAAGTAAACATGGCTGGTATTTTTGAACAAGAATAAAAAATTGTTTTACGTATTAATAAAATGGCACAGAGTGTCGTTGACGTTTGAAGTCAACTGGAGTTTTATAACACGGAAGGGCGAAAATATAATGCCCGAGACTTGGAGCTTGTTGAACGTGCAAATGAAAAATTTCAGGTCGTCCTTCTTTTCAGAATTACTTTCGGAAATCTTTCTACGCCAAGAGTACTGACACTATCCTCGTTTTCTTTATAACAACCCCTATACTTTCTCCCTTCCTCTCAACCTCTTGTAACACCAACACATTCACAAAACGATGGAGATGGTTCTCATTTCAGTGAATAGACAGGATGGAAGGTTACGTCAAGCCAGTCAGGAGTTATATGAGATTATATATTTTTATG